TGTTAAATGCTGATTCCCCTATGCATTTATATTTTTTACAGTCAGGCACAAAAAAGGGGGGTTGGAATAAGATCTACAAAAGCAATAATAGAACTTGTATAGAAGAGGGAACTCAAATCTAGTACTTATAAGCTCTAACCCCATAAAGAGAATAAATGCCCCATATAAAATACTCCAAATAAAAACCCTATAGAGAGAATAAAGAAGGAATAAGTAAGAATATAGCCCATGATTCAGGAAAGAAAATTCAGTTAGACTGACAGGGAAGAGAAATAATGAAGAAGACATAGGAGAGAGAGCCAGGTAAAGATGATGGAATAGTAGGAAAAAATATAGCCCAGTTCCACCAACATAATCCCCCCCCAAACATCTAGAAAATGTACCAGCCCAACTCCTGAATGAGAAGACAAAGAAAAAAAGTCACAGCAAGTCATTTTTCCAGCCGGTCAGCACGGAGATAGAGAGGTCTATTGAAACTTGGTTTGTCCAAGAGAATGCTGCATGGAGTGTTCCAGTGCCCAGGGACTGAAAAAAGACCTAGTCTGTGCAGTGGGGCAGGAAGTATCAGGGCAGGGAGAGGCTTCAGGGACTCCCTAAACTAGTGCAGGATGTGGGAATGGATGTCATCTGGCAGTTATGTCACGAATTACCCAGTTCTGGGTCACAGGTCTAGGATAGACTGACTAGGAGCCCCCTGCTTCCAGGTAGCGGAGAGGAGTGATAGTATGCCTGAGGCTGTGTGCAGAACAAGAAGCAAGTTCAGAAGCAGACAGTGGCTGCATGGCTCTGTCTTCAGGAACACGGCAGGGACTCGGCTCTAGCCTCCAGCCCAGTTTGAAGCTTGCACAGGGCAGGAATCCCAAACCAAAAGGGAGCCTGCAGTTCTGTAACTGAACTAGAGCTTTCCTGCTGACTGATAGTGGCTGAGAATAATGGCAATCCACTGTAACTTTTACTCAGGGACAAGGCCACAGGTATATTGTTCAGGTTCAAACCTGGTTCAGGAACTTAAAGAGTTCAGACCAGGCGCTGCAGTAACTCTGCAGCATTCCAGCCTGAGCTGGTCCTTAAATCCTGAAATGACACAGTACTTAATACCCCAAGAAAACAGAAGAGTGTTCCAATAGGACAAAAGCTCAGCTCAGACACACCTTTCCTCCCCAAGAAGTGTACAGAGCCCAATTCAAAGTCAGAAAATAGGCTAGAATAATGAAAAAGAGAGACAGACAGACAGACAGAGACAGAGATAGGGAAGGAAGGAGGGAGGGAGAATCTTACCACAAAGAGCTGTTATGGTAACAAGGAGGCTCAATATACAAACCTAGAAGAAGAGAATGACTCTAAAATATCTACAAGCAAAGCCTCAAAGAAAAAGCACAGCTTGGGCACAAGTCCAATCAGAATTTATGGAAGAGATTAAAGCTAAAGTTTTCAAGTAGGGCTAAAAATTATTTTGAAAACCAAATGAGGAAAAAATGGAGAAAGAAATGAGAGCTTTAGAAGAAAGACATGGAAAGAGAATTAACAGTTTGGAACAAGAGGTACAAAATCTTAACCAAAGGTATAAAAAAGCTCCCTGAAAATCAGAACTGATCAAATAGATGCTAATGACTCCATGAGACAAGAAGAAATATTAAGACAGTCAAAAGACTGAAAAAATAGAAGAAAATGTTGGTTATCTCATAGCAAAAACAATTGAACTGGAAAACAGGTTAAGGAGAGAGATAATTTAAGAACCATTGGACCATTTAAAGACTGTGACACTGCCCCCCTCAACAAAATAGCTTAGATATAATACTTAAAGAAGTCATACAAGAAACCTAACCAGATCTATTAAAACTAGAGGATAGAGCAGAAATGGGGGGGGGGAGAAATCCACTAGTCACCTCCTGAAAGAAATCACAAAATGAAAACTCCCCAAAACACAGTCAAAATCCATAGCTCCTAGGTAGAGTTAAAAATACTACAAATAGCCAGAAGGGAAGAATTCAATTGCCAAGGAGCCACAGCCAGGATTATACAAGATTTAGCAGACACCATTATAATGGAGTGCAGAGTTTGGAATAAGACATTCCAGAAGGCAAAGGATCTAGGTTTACAAGCAAGAGAACAGGGAATATACAGCAACAGTGAATATAATCCTACAGGGAGAAAATGGATCTTTAATGAAATAGAGGACTTCCAAACATTCCTGATGAAAAGACCAGAGCTGAGTAGAAACTTTGAAATACAAACATAAGAATCAAGAAGCATAAAAAGATAAACATGCACAAACAATAATTGTAAGGTACTAAACAAGATAAACTTCATATTTTAATATGGGAAGATGATATGTTGTATCCCCTCATAACTCTATCATCATGAGAGGTCATAGAAAGCTTCTAATTAGGCTGAGGGCCTAGGAGTAGTTCTTTTAGTTTTTGATGATCTTAAAAGAAGAATGAAAAAATAGAGAGCACCAGGTCAACCACACCTCATTCTTCTCCAGTATTCACTCCAGACTTTCTCTACCTCTGGACTAGGCTGTAGGTCTAGTATCTCCACCCACTTTCCTACCTCCTTTTGTGAGTCGACAAGGCACTAGTCAGTCTGCATTAGGCTGAGAAATTGCTTGTGTACCTAGAACCCTTGTAGATAAGTGGACCAGAACATTTTCATAGTCCAACAGTTCCCAAGGGGGAAAGAACTCAGCTTTTGCCATTTTAATTATTCATGATTTCTCCTCCCCTGCCAATCTGTTATCCCTCTTCTCTTGTCTCAATTTCACATATATGTAAATTTCTGTTTAGATTGTGAATTCTTTTTGCTTGCTTAAGGTTCCACATGCATGTTCATTTCTCTTGTAATAAACCTAGTTTTTCCCACAAAAAAAAGATATAAGGTGTTGATTTAAATTTATAAGAATATGAGCTTCTCTCCAATTGATAAGTGGTCAAAGGGTATGAATAGGCAGTTTTCGAAGGAAGAAATCTATGCTATCTATAAGTACATGAAAAAATGCTCTGTCACTAATAATTACAGCAGTGCAAATTAAAACAACTCTGAGATACCATTTCATACATGCTAGATTAGCAAAACTGACAAAAAAGGAAAATGATACTCTAAAGGCGCTGTGGGAAAACAGTGCATCAATGGATTATTGCTTTATGGTTGATGGAACCATGAACTGGTCTAGCTATTCTACAAAGCAATTTGGAGCTATTTCCAAAAGCTATTGAATTGTGCATACTCTTTGACCTTTTATTGCTACTAGGTCTGTACCCCCAAAGAGATAAAAGAATGAGGAAAAGGGCCCGTATATACAAAAATATTTATAGTAATTCTTTTTGAGGTGGTAAAGAATTGGAAAATACAGGGCTGCCTATCAATTGGGGAGTGGCTGAAGAAGTTACAGTAAGATGACTCTCAGCTGTACTTACCCAGTTCTATTCTCAATCCCAACTTCCAGGCTCACATCTCCAACTGCCTATTATTAGACATCTCAAACTAGCTGTCTCATAGACATCTTAGACTTAACATGTTCAAAACTAAACTCATCTTTCCTCCCAAACCTTCTCCCTTTCTGAACTTCCCTATTACCACCAAGGGCATCATCTTCCTCCTGGTCATCCAGGCTCACAACCTAGGTGTCATCCTGGATTCCTCTCTCACCTCCCATGTTCAATCTATTGCCAAGGCCTGTCAAGTTAACTTTATAACATTTCTCATGTATGTCTCTTTATCTCCTCTGACATTTTCACTGCCCTGGTGTAGATCCTCATCACCGCATGCCTGGCCTACTGCAATAGGGTCTTAGTTGGCCTCCCTACTTTAAGTCTTTTCCAGTTCATCCTCCACTTATTCTCAACTCCAGTTCATTCTCCACTCAGCTGTCAAATTAATCTTCCTAAAACACACATCTGACCATGTAACCCCCATATTCAATAAAGTTCAGTGGCTCCCTACTCCCACCTGGATCAAATGTAAAATGCCCATTCAACAGTCTTCATAACCAGTCTTCTTATATTTTACTCCCTCCTCCTCCCCCACTAAGTACTCTGTGATCCAGTGATACTGGACTCCTGGCTGCACCTTGAACAAAAAACTACATCTCCAGACTCTGAACATTTTCACTGGCTGTTCCTCACTCCTGGAATAGTCTTTACTCCTCTCCATATTCTCACTTCCTTAGCTCCCTTCAAGGCCCATCTAAAATCCCACCTGCTACAGGCTGATACCCCCTTAATGCCAGTGCCTTCCCTCTTTTAATTATCTCCAATTTATCATACATACACACACACACACACACACACACACACACACATATGAAGAGAGAGAGAGCTTGATTATAACGTTTTCTCCTCCATTAGATTGTGACCTCCATGAGAGTAGGGTCTATCTTTTGCCCTTCTTTGTATCCCCAACATTTTAACACAATGCCTGGCACATATAGACACTTAAGAAATGTTAATTGACTGAATACTATTGTGCTTGAAAAAATTATAAAGGGAGATGGTTTCAGAGAAACTTTAGAAAACTTGTATGAACTGGTGCAAAGTGAAATAAAAAGAACCAGGAGAACAACGCTTACAAAAGCAACAGTATTATAAAGACAAACAACTTTGAAAGACTTAGGAAGTCTGATCAGAATAATGCTTGACTACAATTTCATAGAACCCATGATGAAATATGCTACGCACCTCCAGGTAGAGAAGTGATGGACTCAGAGTGCAGATTGGGGTATTAAAAAAATTTTTTTTAACATGTTCAATGGGGGAGTTTGTTTTGCTGACTATACCTATTTGTAACAGAGGTTTTACTTTTCTTGATTTTGCAACAGGAGTGGGGGAGGCCCACAGAGGAGAAAGTGAAAGGGAGTGAATATGTAACTGAAAATAAAATAAAATTGATTTTTTTTAAAAAAGAAGACAAAGGAAAGGAAAACTTCTTGTTGAAGGGACATGTTTCTTATGTCTCTGTTGTGTTTCTTTTCTCCTGTTCTTAATTGTATGAATATCCAGGATGAAATGAACCAGATTATGGCTTTGTGAACTTCAAAATGTGGGAAGAGCCACCAGAAAATGGAGTCTATAGCAAAATCTACCAGTAGCCGGGGCAGCCAAATGGGTAAGGAGACAGCACAGTCCTGAGGATTGACCTGCATGACCCAGGTAAGCAGTGGATCAACCTGGCAGGTGAGGCACCGTGTCCTGCAAGCAAGAGGGCAACTCATGTATCAGCTCTGCCACACTCAGAAGTGAACTTGGGGTGGTAAATATCTGGTATTCTAGTTACCACTTCAAGTTTGAGTCCACTGTCCCCCAGGACTGAGACACAGAGGTGAAAATGCCCTAGTTCAGGGGTATGGTTTGGTACTTTGGGTATTGCTGCACATTCTCAGTATATATCCCTTTGTGAAAACTAATTGATCTTCATCGATATTAAGGAGAAAACAATTGGCTATGGATATTGAGGAAGAGAATAACTGGTTAGATGACACTGGAGCTAACCAGCTATGATACTGGCAGGAATACACAGGATAGGGGCTTGTAAGTTAAAGCATTTGCTTCTCAGGAGCACCTAGAACCCAAAGGCGAAAAGTAGTAGCCACCCTCTGTGGACCCAACCTGTCCAAGTGTGGGAGGAGAGACTATTACAGTAGTTTTTGGCAAACAAGGACATCCAGTTTTTCTTCCATGGCTCCAGGTGACCCTGAAATATTTAGCTATAGCCTACGTCTTTCCTCAGCATCTCAGGGCAGCAGCCTCAGTAATAACAATATCATTAGCAGCCTGGGGTTGAGTGGGGGTCAGCCTGGCCTCTCTGGCTATTCACATAAGGAGCTTCTCCTGTTTCCTTCTCAGATATGCCAAGGAGGAACTTGTGGTAGTGTGGTAGAGTACACAGAAGACTACACTTGGAATCAGGAAGACCAGGTTTAAATCCCACCTGATTAGCTGTGTGACCCTGGACAAATCACAACTTCTCCGGGCCCAGTTTTCTCAACCATAAGAGATGAGTAGGCTGGATTTAATGAACCATATCATATGTGAGCATATGACTTGATGTCCTCCCTTCGGCCACCTCTACAATTGAAGTCTCTTGGATCAGGTGGTGGTGAAACTCTCCCACCTTATCCCTATGCACTATCAAGTCTTCATTCTTCCTCACTGCAGTGGCCACATACTCCAAGAGCCTCTCAGCACCCCTCAGCAGACTTTCGGACTTCCTCACTTCACATTAGACACTTCTGTCCTTGCCTTTCTCCTTAGGGAGAAGAGTGGCTGAGCTTTCAGTCATAGTCCCATGGCTCTCCAAGGCTCAAATAGATAAACACTAGTGTATCCCTGGTTATGACAATATCAAAGAGTGATAAACAGGGAAAGTATAATATGCTTAAAGGAACCATGAATAATGAAGAAATATCAGTACTAATCATATGCACTAAATGGCATCTCATCTCAATTAGTGAAGTCAACTGAGTTATAAAAAGACATAGTATCACAATAATTGCAGGAGATATTATTTTTCTTCCAGATCTGGAAAAACATAACTGTGATTAGCTTAAAAGACCATATAGAATGGAATAAACTGCAGGATTTCTCAGAGCTGAAAGACTTACTGTGTCCTCTGAATGAGAACATTAAAGAATTTATTATATATTCTCAGCATTAGTGGTACTTTTACAAAAATAGACTATGTGATAAGACACAAAGAAGTTATAAAATGAATGTAAAAAAATTAGTCTACGTGTGTCGACAGGTCTTTCCTTCACATTCCCCTAGTTCCTACCTGGACTAGTGCACTTCAGGAATAGGAAATGCAGAGTGTAGGGAGTTGAATTGCTCGGGACATTGTCATTATCATGGTGAGCAGGAACTTTTAAAAAAAAGACCACTTTAGAGCACCCACTCTAGAGAGAGATTGAAGGGAGGGTGCAGTATGTTGGGTGGAGGTCATGCTCCTTTTTATTAGGTAGGGGAATTTCTTATTCTTCCTCACTGTTTCCACTCTGCCATTGGTTAGAGCTGGCAGTTTAGGAACAGCTGGTAAGGGTAGTTCCTTAGATGCCTGGATGGGAAACTACACTTTATACTCAGCACGGACAGTGGACTTAAACCATGAGTACATAACACCCTGGACTGGGAGGCGGGGGGGGGGGGGGGGGGGGGGGGGGGGGGGGGGGGGGGGGGGGGGGGGGGTGGTAGAGCTAGAGTAGATGTTAGTGAGACCATTCCTTTCCTTTCTCCTTGAGGTGTTATTTTGAAGGGCACAAGAAGAGCTTCCTTTTCAAAAAATTTAGGTCCAGGTGATTATAGGTACTAAGGTTTCCACATGTGGAAGTGAAGAATTCAGACCCCAGAATTCTAGAGTTTCCTGAGTAAACTGGTTCATTTGGCAAAAGTGAAGTTCTGAACTCGTCAGTGGAGATGGTTGACCTTTTAGCTTACCAGGATGTAGCTACCTGGAATCCTAATATTGTATTTAATGATTCTTATTTCATAAAGTAAATGTATTTAAATTTATAATGTGTGTTTCCTTTTGGGTCACACAAATTGGGAAAGAAAATAATAATCTCATTGTAAAATGTAAAAATAATAAAACACCAAATGTCCTGGTCAATATTCCATATCTAGTACAATAAATTACTCAGAGCCTGAGGATTCAGATAAATACTCCTTTAATAAAAACATTTTCTAATCTCAAGGGAAAGCAATCCACAGAGCAATAAAAATAGTTCCCAGGAAGGTAAAAGCAGATAAAAGCCACTGGTAGAGATTAAAAAAACAAAGAAAAACACTTGACAAGTTCCCTAAGGTCTGAGAAGCTCCATGCCAAAGTCCTAAACACTGCTCGTCCAAAGAGTTCACAACTAGGTCTCAGATCAATCCATTTGAAGGAAGGGTTAACTTAAACTGGCCCAGTTCTACTCCACAAAGTCTTAGCTCACAACAGCACTGGCTGATAGTATGGAAGCACAGGGGTTAACTAAAGCTGTCCCAGTTCTACTAATGTTCTGACCCACAATAATCTGTCCCCATCTCCAACCCCACCAATAACCTGAGCAGCCAGGTGTCACCTTCACCATACACCTTCCTCCCCTTCATTCTACAGCAAAGCTGACCCCTCCCCCTTTAAAACAGCAACAAAGGGCTCCTCCTGTTGCAGGCCCATCCAGATGACTGGGATCTGCTCTGCTAGATGGGACCTCTTTGCCTGTCCAACAGCTCATGATGAAATGGCCAGTGAGGCAGGGGAAAGGGCAGGGATATCGTGTTTTGCAGATGGCTAGGCAGACAACAGCATAGGACCCAGCCAGCTGCGGGCAGGTCTCAGCTATGGGGCTTGTGAGCTGCACGCACTGGGGGTGGAGGGGTGAGGGGTGGAGTTAGCTATGGGTGAGCCCCAGCAAGCTGGAGAGACCAGAAGCAACATGAGCCTTACTTAGGTAAGTCAGCAAGGTAGGCCAGACTCTACAGAGCAAACCTGAGGCCATTTGAATTAACCTTGTCCCCAAGGGAATTGATCTGAGACCCAGCTATGGGCCCTCTAGACAAAGAGTAAATGAAAATAGGTTTCCTGCTTTTTAATCTTCTTTCTGGTAGCTTTTACCTGCCTTTATATCTCCCTGTGGACTGCTTTTTATCATCTTGTGCGTTGATTTTACCTGGGGGTTAGTGAATATTATTACCTTCTTTTTTTTTTTTCTTGGCTAGGCAATGGGGTTAAGTGACTTGCCCAAGGTCACACAGCTAGTAAGTGTTATGTGTTTGGGTTGGATTTGAACTCAGGTCCTCCTGAATCCAGGGCCAGTGCTCTATCTACTGCACCACCTAGCTGCCCTGTATTACTACCTTCTTAGTAAATATCTTTTTGTTTAAAAAAAAAAGAGATAGTTGAGCAACTTACTAATTAGTATTAGAGAGATGCTAACTGGCTAATTGACATTGGGGAGGACACAAGATGGTGAATTATAATTATAATATTAGAAACCCCAATCCTTCAAGGTTATTCCAAAGACTATAAAGAAAGAAGCAGCGTGGAACCCTAGTCTGCCAATATGAATAGATGTTGGGGACAGTATGGTCAGGGGGAGGGCTGCACATACATACTGACTTCTGGCTCAGTAGCCAATTAGGGAATTCATCATCTTCCATCACAAACCCCTGAGTAACACATGGCTGAAGTAGGCATAACTCCAAGTTTCCACATGCTGAAGTGTGATTCAAGTGGGGAAGCGTACCTGCTACATATTCAAAGTCTATATGGAGTAAATAAAAAGTCATTTTGGGATTTGGGTGCCAGGCGGCATAAATAATTGGCCGGGGGGAGGGAATAGGGAGAGGCCTCTGTAAGAGGTGGCAGGTGAGCTGTCCCCTGAAAGAAGCTAGGGATCCTACAAGGCAGCTAGGTTGCACAGTGGGTAGAGCAGGGACCTGGAGTCAGGAAGACCTGAGTTCAAATGCAGTCTCAGATACTTAGTAGCAGTGTGACCCTAGGCGAGTCACTTAGCCCTGTTTGCCTTGGTTTCTTTACCTATAAAATGAGCTGGAGAAGGAAATAGCAAACCATTTGTTAGTATCTTTGCCAAGAGAACCTCAAATGCAGTCCTAAAGAGAGGGACACGTATGGCTGAATAACACTGAAGGGATTCTATAAGGCAGGGGTGAGGAGAGGAAAGTGTTCTAGGTTTGAGGGACAGCTTATTCAAAGACACAAGGGCCAAAGACGAAATTTCATGTAAGTGGGGCAATTTGGCCGGAATGTAGATGCGTGAGGCGAAGTCATGTGATCAGTCTGGACTGCCAGGCTAAATTTCAGATTGTAAGGGCTTTAAATGCCAGGCAGAGGAGTATGCATTTGGAATGAACTGAGTGCCTTCCACATGTAAGAAACGTTGATGCTGTAGGGGCAAATAGCAAGTTTTCTAAAAGGCAGAAGAACTTGCCCCATACTTACGTCTAGGCTTTTCTCAGATCAATTTAGGGTTTAAAATGCAAAACTGATTATTATTATTATTCTAATACAATAACTTACAAGTTGATTTACCTATTTATTATAATTATTCCCATACAATATTTATTTTTATTAGTTTATCATCTCTTATTATTCCCATGCAATACTTTATGTATTTAATACGAATTGACTTAGGTCCCAGTCTGTTTCTACTTTTGGTATAATGGATCACCCAGAGTCTAAGGGTTTGAATACATACTTCCTTTAATAAAACAAGTCACTAAAACATCCCCCAAGCTGGTACACATTTTCTTCTCTGTGCCCACTCTGGTCCTGGAGAAAACAGGCTCAAATTGAAAGTGGTTGATACAAAACATTTCCTCCCCAGCTGCTGTGGAGAGATGGTATTCCCTGGCCCTAGAAATCCCTTTCTCTCTCTGCAGAGTCCCCACAAAATGGAGATATGGTGTAGCTGACGGACAAATCCCTCCCTTGTTTGTATGACATAGGGTCCATTCACTGCTGTGCTGAATCAAGCAGATTGCTTCTTGGGGCTAGCTGCTCACTGGATTCAGCTGCTGTGGCTGCTAGGGGACTCTGCTTTTGACTTTGCTGGACCTCCATTGCTCACGCCAAGAAGCATACTCAACGAGCCTCCATGTGGATCAGAACTAGGCGGGATGTATTGTACATGCTCTAAGGGCTGGGTTCTCATTGGACAACTCTCTATCACACATATAAAAGGATCGACTTACTCTCCCACATCTTTCTTACTTCAAAGCAAGAGGGCTACTTCAAGCTGTCTCCCAAGAAGAGGGTGGGGAAAAGGGCAGATGGCTATATTTCTCCAGTTGGCCGTGAGTGCATGGCCACTTCTCCTTTTTTGTGGCTGTACTTTCTTGACTCAAGTGATCAAGTATCCAGAGACATAAGTGTCTTTAGGCAACCCTGTGAGTTTGAAAACTCTGAAGGATTATGATATCCCCCAGCACAGCAACAGCAATAGCAATAGCGGTGTCCACTAGAACAAAATGACTGGTGATAGGTGAGGTTTCTGTAACAGAAAGGGACCAAGCCTGGCCCATTTCAACAGCAGAGTTGATCAGATAGTGTCCATTGGAGGGGAAATGTAAAATGGATAATTAACAGTACCATACAACTGTTTTATATCATGATGAAGCTTACCTATGTGCCTTCTAGCAGAATGAGACAGTAGTTATAAGCTGTTCCTGAATTCTGTTCAAATCATTCTATAATGTGCACTGTGATTCTTTTTTATAGTTAAAATTTTCTATGCGAGAAACATATAACAATGTCATGATCGAAATTAAGGTAAACTGAAGTACGAAGCTCCGAGCATGATTAATTTATTAGCAAAGCACGAATTTGCCAATAAACAGGGTCTCAGTCTCCTCATTGAGCTACGACCCTGAATGAAGGCTGATAGATAATTTTTATGGACAAAAGGAGGAATATCCAAAAGTTAGAAGGCGGCATCATGAATAGGGAAACAATGTGATCGGTTACAAAGTCAGAAGCATCATAAATGTGGGGGACATCAGGAGTATTTCTAGCAACAACCTCTCCTTCTGTCCTGTGGCTAGGAAATTGCTGATTGATTGAGCCCACCTGCAT